AATAAATAACAAGGACTCTTACAAACTAAAAATATGGTGGCAGAAATAAACAATTCACAGAAGAAGTGAAAGATAAAGCCTGAGGAAATCATCTAGAAAGTAGAACAAAAAAACTAGAGATGGTCAATAGGAGACAGAAGTTAAGAAAAAACAAAAATAAATACAGGAGGCCCAACACCTGACTGATTATAGCTCTGGAGGAAAGAATAGATAAAAGAGTTGGAAAGATGGTATCAAAGAGATAATACAAGAAAATTTCTGGCCAGGTGTGGTGGCTCATGCCTGTAATCCTAGCACTCTGGAAGGCCGAGGCTGGAGGATAGCTTGAGGTCAGGAGTTTGAGATCAGCCTGAGCAAGAGCAAGACCCCTTGTTTACTAAAAAAAATAGAAAAATTAGCCAGGCATTATGGCACACGCCTGTAGTCCCAGCTACTTGGGAGGCTGAGGCAGGAGAATCCCTTAAGCCCAGGAGTTTGAGGTTGCTGTGAGCTAGGCTGACACCATGGTACTCTAGCCTGGGCAACAGAGCAAGACTCTGTCTCAAAAAAAAAAAAAAAAAAAAAATTCCCAGAATTGAAAGACTTGAGTCTCTGAATTGAAAGAACCTATTGTGTCCAACACTATTCTAAGTGCTGTTGCAGAAATGCATCAATTGACATGAAAAAAATGATTATACTACAATACAGGTAAAATAAACAGATTAAAAAACCTGTTATCCAATAGGAGCCACCCATTCTTACAAAATATGTAACAGGTAATAATATGGAGCAATGCTTTCAAAATGCCAAAAGAAAATTATTTTCAACTTTAAAGTTAATTTTGTCAGTGAAGTAAGTAGGTAGTACAAAAACATTTTTAGACATTTAACTCTCTGAAAATTCATCTCCTATATATTCTTTCATTATAAGCCATTAAAGATTATGCTCCATTAAAATAAAGGGGTATACAAGAAAGTAGAAGACATGGTGACTCAGTTCAGGCTGCTATAATAAATTACCACAGACTGGGAGCTTATAAACAACAGAAATTTATTTCCCACAGTCTGTAGTCTGAAAGGCCAAGATCAGGGTGCCAACATGGTCAAGTTCTGGTGAGGACCGTCTTCCAGTTGCAGATTGTCGACTTTTTGTTATATCCTCACATGGGGGCGAAAGAACTCTCTGGAATCTCTTTTATAAAGGCACTAATCCGATTCATGAGGGCTCCATGCTCACGACCTAATCAACTCCCAAAGGCTCATCTCCTAATACCATCACATTGAGAGTTAGGATTCCAACATATGAATTTTAGGGAGACACAAATATTCAGTCCATTGCATATGGGATCCAGAAACAGTAAATCCACATAGAAAAGAGGTAAGAGGAACTATTAGGCCCAGGGTAACAGCCAAGCAACAGGCCTGGAGAGCAGCCAGCTCAGAGTAGAGCAGGCCAGAGGGAAGAGTTATCTAAAATTGATGCATCAAGAGATAACAATGTACACAAATCATTTAGAACTATGGAAGTAAAGAAAAGAAGAAACATTTAAAACAAGTGAAATTAATTGTTCCAGAAAAGTGGGCTAATGGAGGGAGTGGGAACAAGAGATTGTTGCATTTTAAGGCTTTTAGCTATAGTTGGCTTTTAAAGCTTGTATTCGTTTCCAAGGGCTGCCATAACAAATTAATACAAACATGGCAGCTTAAAAAAATATAAATTTATTTTCTTAAAATTCTGGGAGGCAGAGGTCCAAAATCAAGTTGTTAGCAGAGTTGGTTCCCTCCAGAAGCTCCAAGGGAGAATCTGTTCCATGGCTGTCTCCTAGCTTCTTGGAGGTTGCTGGCAACCCTTGATGTTCCTTGGTTTGGGGCTGTATAACTCCAATCTCTGCCTACATCTTTACCTGGCCTTCTCTCTCTGTCTCTGTGTCAAATCTCCCTACCTTTCTTTTATAAGGACACCACTCATTGGATTTGTGATTTAGCCTAAATCCAGTATGAACTCATTTCGACATCCTTAACTTAGTTACGTCTGCAAAGACCCTGTTTCCAAATAAGGTCACATTCACAGGTATCAGGGCTTAGGACTTGGACATATCTTTTTAGGGGACACAATTCAACCCACTACAAAGCTACTTATATGAACTACTTTGGACATCTGTACTTATTTCTTCAGCATGTACATTTAAAAAATTTTTAATATCTATTTCCAAAGTGACTCCCATAAAGATGTTTCCATTTACACTTCTCCAGCAATGGGTGCAAATGCCTATTTTCTCTCACCTTTGCAAACACTGTATACACTGTCGGTCAACATGATACACAAACATGATTTTATTGTTGACTTAATTTGCCTTTTGGATTACTAATGAGGTTTGACATTTAAAAATATGTTTGTCGACTATTTGACCGTTCTCTTTCATAAATTACCTGTTCATGTCCTTAGTTCATTTTGTTTCTATTAAGACATTCATCTCATCTATATGAAATAAAAATAAAAGGATGTTTATGACAACATTGGTTTGAATAGTCAAGTAGATGAAAACAACCTAAGCTTTCAGCTATAGGAATTGGTTCACTAAATTACTGTATTACTGAATTCTACCCAGCTGTGATAAGTGTCACTGTAGAAATGCATCTAACATGAAAAGATGATTACAATATGGGTAAAATAAACATTAGAAACAATGTGTCCAATAGGACACTGTTTTTCTAAAATACATATCTAATAGTAATAACATTACAAACATGTATATAGAATTTACGATATACCAGGCACTATTCTAAACATTTTATAAATATTACAACAACACTGTGTGATAGGCTCCATTATCATCCTTGTTTTGCCAAAAAGGAAACTGGAGCACAGAGACATTATGACTTGCCCAGTGTCACACATCTGGTAAGTGGGGGAGCTGAGATTTAAGTCCAGGCAGTCTGGCTCCCAAGCTGTGCTATTAACCACACCCTGCAAACTGCCTCTGTCCACATCAGTGCATGGAATAGGACCTGGAAGTATACATACCAAGGAAGCTGTCATATTGTTCTGAATAGGAGGGGGTTGTAGGTAGTTTTTATATTCTTTTTGCTTGTATGTGTTTCTAATTTTTCTGTAATGAGTTTGTAATGCTGCTGCAATTAAAAATACTAAAAATCACATTTTGAACAGAAAATCTCCTTAGCTTATTGTTTAGGAACTGCTTTTAGCTAGTGGGAAAAACAGGAGACCTGGCCACTAGTCCCAACTAGTGGCATATGGAAAGTACTCAATGAAATTTGTACTCATTGAACATCTATTTTGGGGTCAGACACTATACTTGAAGCAATAAGTGCTATTACTATTATTATTGTCAGTGTTCCCTGTTCATCTTTAAACATGTCAGCAACCCTCTCTGGGCCCCAGAAAAGGAGATTAGCATGGAAATAGCAACGGCAGCTGTGGCTAGACTCAATAATGGTACATGCATAGGATGTGTCTCTCAAGGGTATCGTCCCCTTTCAGGGGGGCAGTGCAGAGGGGAAACATCTGCCTTTTGGAGAAAGTTCAGAAAAAAAGAACCATAAAATGTGAACTAGATGGAGACCCTCTAACTCGGGAAGAGTTTCCCTGAAGCTAGACTGTGGGAGCAGTGGGCAGGAGGGGATGAGGTGGGGACACTGAGCATGAAGCTGCTGTGTCCCTCCCTCCTGAGGGTCAGTGAGGCTGAGGGTGAGGCAGACGAGGACAGAGAAAGGGTAGGGGGTGGGCGTGTGGGTGTTAACTGACTTGGAGACATCACCAGGGAAGGCAAGACCAGCCCTGCTGGAAGTAACTTGCTCTGTATCTTTAAGATACCCAGGGGAAACTGAGCTATGAAATTGGCTGAAATTACAGGAACCCATTACTCAGAATTCACCGGATCTATTTTGTGGTTGATTTTCCTGCCTCTTTCCACTTTCCATGCTTTGCTGGAGCTCATAAATCCTGCCCAGACTACAGCCTCAACAAAACTAATTCCATTGCCAGTGGTCTTGAACCCTGGGTCCCTTATTCCCCACATTCCCGGACTTTGGTTTTCTGTTCCCCTCAACAGTGATGACCCAAGTGGACACCACCTCCCACAATCTCACACCATAGACAAGATCTGATGTTTGTTCCTGGTCCCTGGAGATGACCTGACCTGTCTCTCTGGATCTGTTTCTCATAAATCTCAACAACCAGTCAATGAGACGATCTCTGCCTTAACCCGATGGAATCAAGTTCAGTGGTTTAATTTTAGACTGAGACAGAGATGGTAACTTGGAATGAGACTCCTGTGATAATTGTGGGTGCAACTGACATAATCTATAGGCCTAGTTATTTTATGAAGCTAAACATAATTATTATAATCAGATTGAAGAAAACATTATTGAATGTGAACAATAAATGTTACTTTAAAATAAAATTTAATTCTGAGAATTCTCTACATAATCTTCTAGAATACCCCTTACTCCTCAATGCCCTTGTTTCACAGCCATCACAAAGTGCTGACTTCACACGGTCCTGCTTCCCCCAGAACCTAGACACTGCTGCCCAAGAGACTGTGTGGCGTCGTGGCCAGCATGTGGCCCCTGGACTCAGAAAGCCCAGGGCTCAAATCACAGTCTTCTCAGTTATTGTCTATGTGGCTTTCTTTCCCCATCCTTAAAATGGGGAGAGCCAACACCTCCCCAGGATGTGCTAAGGATTAGAAGTTATGAATATGAACAGCTGACTACAGCCCTGGGCTCCAATTAGGCTTCTGCAAGTTGTAGTCATTGTTCCTGGAGTCAGGAGGCAAGTGTAGGTTCTAGGCACCAAGCTCCCCTGGCTCCATCTCACCACCTCTCTGAAAATTTCCAAATGAGCATCTTCTGACTTTCAAGTAAGCACAAGCCCAGCTAAGTGTGTGTGGGGGGAGGGTGTCAAAAGTACAGGCCTGGGAGCCAGTCCAGGCATGTCTCTGGGGAATTACTGCTTTCACCTGCTTCAGAGATGAGCACCAAGCCCCTTTGTTCACACACCTGGAAGAGATTAGCAGCTTCCAGGACCCGCTGCACATTCTGCTTGGTGATCAGCGCCTTGCTGGTGTAGGTGTAGTCCAGGAGCGTGTGCATGGTCTCAGCGTCGACCCCTTTGATAATGATCCTCTTCTCATACTTTTCCTTCAAGTCATTGCAGAACATGGCCCTGGAAGAGAGACGTGTGAATGTGAATCCTACCAGGACCCTTGGTTCCAGGCCTAAAGAGGTCCCTTTTCAGACTCGTCTGTTCTCATGGAACAGGGAGGGTCCCTAGTCCAGGACCTGGGCTGATGGCTCTGTTTCTCCAGCACCCCACACATCAGACATTCTGTCAACGTTAACTGAATGGAACTGAACTGTCCTGCTCTGCCATGCCCAACTGTGGTCCCCAAAGCCAGTCTCTGATTTATTTTATTGACATTTATTGGCTCAAAGTACAAGGGATTCATCTGGGGGCATCACGGGATTCCTGAGCCTCGTCTGTCTTTTTATTTCCAACACTGAAACAGCGTTTCTGACTGAGTTCTTGGTTCTCACACCAGCTCTCCTCTGGCCTGGAGCCTGGCCCCACATCCTGGCTTGGCCAGCTGGGGCCCGGATACCCTCCAGGAGTACAAATGGCTCCTGCAGCTGCCTCTCACCTCGGAGACTGAACCCTTGTCCATGGGTTCCCAGTTGCAGTTGGGAGCCTTGAATTCCCTCATCCTAGGGCAGAACTCCCAAGGCCATAACTCTGTCTCACCTCTGGACTGTTCCTTTCCTGCTCCCTCTCCAAAACTGGACTTTTGGATATTTAGTCTCTATCTTGGAAGAAGGAAAACAGGAAAAAAGGATGTCAGTTTTAGCATTGGATGAACCAGGATTTGAATACCAGCTCCACCAACTCAGAAATTGGACATGTTACTTAATCTCCATGAGCTACAGTTTTCTCATCTGTAATGGGGATTTTAATAGCTATTTTCAAAGTTTTTTGTAAGGATTAGCCCCATAACTAATTGATAAGTAGGGATGTAGAGTTTCTTTTTTCACTCCATGCCAGGCTCATATGTGAATTTATTATGCTTCTTGGACTTTGACATTTGAACTGTTAGTCCTTCTCGGGGAATGTGTGAGCAGTTTTATTTATTTTTAAAATACGTTTTAACCTTACCGTGCTTCTGAAAAGATTTCTGGAATTCTGAAAAGTTAGCTAGTACCAAAAATATGGCAAGATTGCATAAATTAAAAGCGGAGGGGAAGAATATAGAAAAACATGACGATAATCTGTGCATGAGACTAGAAATGTCTACCACAATGGCTGTTGTACTGTCGTTACAGGTGGTCAGTTACACAATTCATAGTTCCGGTGACAGATTTTTAACAAAGCCAAATGCTTAGAAGAATTATTATTGTTCTTAGCATTAAAAACTAGATGGAATTTCTCCTGGGGATGCACAACAACCTCACAACATTCTTATCCCATGAGGCCGATCCCTAATAGCTATAGCTGAGACAGTTTCTTCGGTCTCGTTCCTACAAAAACCTGTTCACTCTCTCTTGTTCTCCCAGTGGCTGTGAGACTCCAGCAATTCCACAAGCTGTGACAGCACAGCTTATATATACAGGTCCTTGGAGGCTCTGGAATTCAATTTCTTTCAATTTGCCCTGCATTTGCAAAGCACCCACTACGTGCAGGATACTGGGCTAGGGCCACAAGGGATTTAAACATTAGGCAGTGCTCTGGCCTGAATTGTGTCCCCCTAAAACTTGCACTTTGAAACTCTAAGCCCCAGTGTGACTATATTTGGAGATAGGCTTTTAGGAGGTAATTAACGTAAAATGAGGCCATAAGGTTAAGGTCCTAATCTATTAATAATATAATTAAGGTCCTTATTAGAAGAAGAAAAGAGAGACCAGAATTCTTTCTCTCTCCCTCTCTCTCTCTCTCTCTCTCTCTCACCCTGATATTGGAATTCCAGCCTTCAGAACTGTGAGAAAATAAATTTTTGTTGGTTAATTCATCCGGTGGGTGGTATTTTGTTATGGCAACCCAAGCTAAGACAGATTTGGGTACTGAGAAGTGGGGTGCTGCTATAACAATGCCCCAAAATGTAGAAATGAATAATGGGTAGAGGCTGACAGAGTTTTGAAGGAATGCTAGAAAAAGCCTAGATTGCCATGAACAGAATGTAGGTGGAAATATAAGCATTAAAGATTATTCTCGTGAAGTCTCAGAAAAAATGAGGAACAAGTCAATGGAAACTGGAGGGAGGAAAGGTCACCATTGTTATAAAGTGCCAAAGAACTTGACTGAGCTGTGTTCCAGTGTTTTGTTAAAGGTAGAGCTTGTGAGTGGTGATATTTAGCTGAGGAGATTTCTGGACAAAGTGCTGAAGGAGCAGCTTACTTCTCCCAACTGTTCATAGTAAAAAGCAAGGCGAGAGAGAAGAATTGAAGAAGAAATTTTTAAGCAAAAAGGAACCAGAAATTAAAGACTTGGAAAATTCCTAGCCTACCCATATTACAGAAATTGAGAAAGCATGATCTGAAGAGAACACCAAGGCTGCAGTTGAACAATCATTTGATACAATGCTCTGGGATTACACGAGCAGCAACACTGCCACTCTGAGCTGAAGGGGAGGAGACAGGACAAATGAAGGAAGACTGTGGGACTTCTGGACTGCTGGGATTTGACAGTATGGAATCACAGAGATACTTAGCTGCGAACATGCCCTATTCTTCAAGAAGAGGGAAAAACTACCCTAAGGATGATTCTGAAATCATCAGGACCGCTACCTCAGTTTAAGAGGACAGATGGCCTTGGTGAGAGCCTTGGGGACAGGACTCCCACCTACAGCCTTGGGATAGGGGGATGCTGCCACCTCAGTGGGCCTGGAGGGCAGAGAATCAGATCAATCAGGATTATTCTCAAGTCTTAAAATCTAATAGAATTTACCTTGCTAGGTTTTGGACTTTCTTGGAACCCATCACCTCTTCTTTCCTGTTTTTCCCTTTTGGAATGGGGATGTCTACCGTATGCTTGTCCCACTATTGTATTTCGGAAGCATATAACTTGTTTGGTTTCACAGGTTCACAGTGGGAGAGAAATTTTGCCTTAGGATGAATTGTACTTCAAATCCAACTCATTTCTGATTTAGATGATATTTAGATGGGACTTTGGACTTTAGACTTTAGAGTTGATGCTGAAATAAATTAAGACTTTTGGGGCTGTTGGGATGTAATGAATGAATTTTGCAGATGAGAAGGACATGAATTTGGAGGGCCAAGCGTGAAACAGCATGGGCTGAATTGCGTTCCCCTCAAATTCTTATGTTGAAGCCCTAACCCCTAATGTGACTGTATTTGGAGATAGGGTTTTTGGAGGTAATTAGAGTTAAATGAGGTCAAAAGGGTGGGATCCTAATGTGATAGGAAGTCCTTATAAAAAGAGATATCTCCCTCTTTTCTTTTCACGTGCACGCACCGAGGAAAGGCCATGCAAGGACACAGCGAGAAGGTGGTCGTCTGCAAACCAGGAAGAGAGCCCTCCCCAGAAACCAAAGCATGCTGCTGGCAACTTGATCCCAGACTTGCAGACTCCAGAAGTGCAAGAAAATACATTTCTGTTGTTTAAGCCACGCAGTCTATGGTATTTTGTTATGGCAGCCCAAGCTGACTAATACTGGCAGTCTCTGTCAACCCCAACCCCTCGCAGTTCACAACATAGCAAGGACATGTATGCACAAATAACAGTCTACAAAGGGCCATAAAAGACTACAGAGTGCTGTGGGGGCCAGGAACGGCTGCTCATGGAAAAGGAAAATTTTAACATGAGGAGATTGTGCATAGGATTTCCAGATAATAAGCACAGTGAGTAGAAGCTTAAAGATGCAAGAGTTTGGGGCATGTAGAGAAAGAAGCAGGCATGTTATTCAGCGGACCCCCAGGGATGTGAGAGGGAGCGGTGAGAACGCAGTCTGGAAAGATAACCTGGGTCCTGATTGTGGGGGGCCCTGGAGGCAGGCTAGGGAGTTAGGTTTTTTTTCAGTGGATAAGGGGGAACCATTGAAGGTTGATAAGCAGAGGCAGGACTCCAAGAGAATATCTGTAACAGCTGTGCTCTCTCTTTAGTTTGCAGGTGATGGGTACCTCTAGAGTCAAGTGTTAACTGTACCCAAACAGAGGCGGGGGGCTTGTGACAATGCCAGAGCCTTGTCCCAGAAAACGTACTACTTGAGGCAGTGGCCACACTGCTAGGGAACTTCTCTAACCAGTTGTCACAGGACTTTCTAAGCTGTAGACACATGCACAGGTACCTTAGAGAGCCATCATCTCCTAGCCAAGTCACTGAAATGGGATGGTCCCAGGCGGAGCCCTGGTGATGGAATGTCATTCCCTAAACTAGGACTTCCCTCCCAACGCAGAGGGGATTACCGCACCACTCCTGCTCCTCCTCCCTTTCCCACGCCTCCTGTTTATCTCTGGAAATTCACTCATCGGTTTCCTTCCCCCTTTTCCTAATCTTCGAAACAAAAGTAACTGCTTATGACTTCCCCAAAGCAAATATCAGAAAGTCAAAAGACAAGAGAGAGAAAGAGAGAGAGAAAACTACTTGACTTGCTGGGCTTTTCAATCTTTTGTTTTAGTTAATGAGATCTTTTCCTTCTGGTCTCCCTCTGTCCTTCCTTCGCTCCCCATTTCTCTTTTCCCTCAACTGGCCTCTTTCTCCTCACAAGAATATGACAGCGTGAAAGAAGGAGCAAATGTAAACTCTAGGGCCTGCAAAGTTAATAAATCCCAGCTTGGAACCAGAGGAGCCAAGGTGTCATTGGGCAGGTGACTGATTTACAAGCTATTTTCTTCAGCCATAAATCCTCCCAGCCAGCAGCACAGAGCTGTTTGCAGAACCACAATCACGAGCCTTTAAAAGTGATGTCATCTAGGGCCCGCCTTGCTGCCTCCTGACTTCATGAAGAATCCTCCCTCACAACAACCATACGATTTCTTCTCTGCTCAGCATATCCTCCTTGGAGGAGTTAGACAAGCTCACTCTCTGAGCCTCCCTTTGTTGGAGCCTCTAGAGCAACGCCGCCCAATAGAAATGTGCTGTGAGCCATATATGTCCGACAGTATGTTCTAATCACCACATTGCTAAAAAGTAAAAAGATAAAAATCAATTTTAATAAC